ATGAACTAGCTTATCAATGACTCATGTTCAGAGCACACCCTCAGAGCTGGCTGGAGCAGGCTGTGCTACTCAGGCCGAGGCAGGGCTATAAGGTCATACAATATTTGGCCTTGGCCCTCACCTGTCCTCCCCCAATCAGGCTAGAGGAGAAACAGACAAAGGCATGATAGGGTATCTGGCACTTGGGAAGGGCCTCTCAGTGATCTCTGATCTCCGTCTTCAAAGATGAGCCTGCCACTCAAAGCACAGATTCCAGCAGTGAGAACAGCAAGGCAGAAGGATAAGAATAAGGCATGTTGGGACAAAAGCAAAAGGTGCAGCATGGCTGGAGCCCAAGGTGGATGAATGGAAAGCAGAGCAAAGAGAATGGCACCCGAGGTAGCTTTAGTTCACATTATGAAGGGCCTTGTAAGCCACGCTAAGGCGTGTGGAGTTCAGCCTGCAGGAGACAGGGAGCCAGTGGAGGCTCTTAGGCAGGGCGGTGGATGGTGATTCTCGTTTTGGAAAACTAACTCTGAGGGACAGAGATGGATTAGGGCTGGGTAAATAGTACGTGAAAGTGTCAGACCGGAACATGGCAGTCCCATATTCCTGAATGCAACCTACAGTAACAAACACATTTTAATAATGATTCATAGCCATGTGTATGCACGCGCACACACACACCTGGAAAAAACCACCCTTGCTTTCTGAGATGATTTCTAATATTTCTACTCTATTTTACTCTATTTTTAAAAACAATACCAGTCGCCATCATTAAACTGATTTCATAGCCCCATTCTGGATTATAACCCTTACTGTTAAAAACTCCAGATAAGAGGAAGGGAAACTCTTACTACCTCACTGCGATAGCCCAGGAGAGATGATGAGGATGGTGGTAGGAACAGCAGAGATGATAAAAAGAAATACAGACACTTGAGAAGATTAGAATGGATAAGCCCATGAGTCCAGTTGGATATACAAAGTAGACAAAATTAAGTTACTTTGGCATGAATAACTAAATAAAAACCCCTTTAGAAAAAAGAAAAATATGGAAGATGTACTAGGCTAAGAGGCTCAGGAAAATTAACCTAGATATTGATGTTTAGATAAATTAAATCTATAAATAAAACAATAAAATATATATTAAGAAATCAATAATTTTGACCCTGCAGTTATTTTGATGGGACAGCAGAAATTTACAAGTGTTTGACAAA